CACGGGCCTGGGGCGCTGTGAAAATTCGAGTAGATGGCATTATAGCGAGCAGCACCTATGCTGCCAGAAAACCTTTTCGAGCGATGCTCACAATGACCTCTCAGGTAGGGGCTAGCTCTTCCCTAGAACGACACAGGAACAATCAAATTCGGGGCAAAGAGATTCCTTCCACCACCATGACGCAGCTAAAAGTGGCAGAGTCCAGACTAGATCCAGGTCTCTGGCTTCAATTCTGTCTGCTCGTTTGACCCACATTCCAGGTCTTTCCTTACCCTCACATTAGTCAGAGGTTCCAAATTGCAGGCTGCTGGCCAGCCCAGGTGTAGCCAATGGTGTAGCCGGCGGCTGAGTTAGTGACAACCCTAGTGTTGAAGCTGATTTCTCTTTTTTTCTTCTTTTTTTTCTCATTTATTTATTTATTTATTTATTTATTTATTTATTTATTTATTTTTAAATCAATCTTTATTGTTCATATTATTACAAAGGTTCCTCATTTCTTCCCCCCTCCACCAGGTTCCCACCCCACCCTCCGCCCCCTTCCCCTCCCCCATTGTCCTCATCCACAGGTGCACAGTTTATGTTCAGTCTTTTCCTCCCTCCCTTTCCCCGATAGTAAATCCCTTTTTAGATAGTAAATCAGTTACTTAGCATTTTCTCATATCAATAATACCTCCACATGCCCAAAGATACACTTCACACAAAAGACATTTCCAAATAGGTCAACCAACCTCATTCAGGCCCCGCACAAGGCACTCACAGATCAACACCCCAGCGTTGAAGCTGATTTCTCAATTGCACCCCTCAAAGCCCTGCTCTCATTCCACACCCCCACCGACTACTCTCAGGGGTAGCCTCCCACAATGAGGAAAGGGCTGCCAGCAGAAGGTGTGGGGCGAGCACATTGACTTCTCCATCCAGCCCCAGGGTGTCCCCTCCTGGGAGCCTGTCTGCCGTGTTGACCTGTTTTGTATCCTGCAGCCCAGAAAGACACTCAACGAAGGCTTGGTGTGCACACAGTTCAGGCACCCGCCTCCTTCTGAGATGCCCCAATAGCCGCCTGCTCACGCCTCTCTCTCCGGGAGGCTAGGCTCCCACTCCGTGGACCGCAGTCTGGAGCCAGGGCTACAGAACCAAAAGTGCTGACCTCCTTCCCCGCAGCGCAAACAGCCCACGCCCCTCTGAGAAGGAAACCAAAATAAACAGCTAATTCCTGCCATTCCAGCACTATAGAAAAACAAACACACAACAGAATCAAATATGTCACCATAATCTGCCCTAGGGGACATCTGGTGCTCTCTCTTTTCTCTTTAAAATTTTTAATAAGCCACAAAAATCTCAGGTGAGAGCAGAATAGCTGGGGATGTACTGACTAAAAGAGAATAGAAACAAATCTTGCAGGGCGAGAAGAGAATTTGCAAATTGTAGGGAGTGGTACAGGGCTAAGCCTCGGACTGACCAGCAGGCAAAGCCAGCAAACAAGTCGCAGCTTAGAGGGCACAGCCCTCTTAGCATAATTAAGCTTGACCTTATGACGCTCCCTAGATCCTTCCTGGGTAGCTAATGGCTGTGGGAGGTGCAGCAAGTGCTGCCAAAACAAGTGAAACTCATATGAACATTGTAACTATGGTGACCACTACCTTGTTTACCTCTGACTATTAAATAAAGGCTCAGCTCACCCTGTGGATCTGTTATGTGGTCTCAGCAAGGTAAGGAAGATCCACCTAGACCCAGCTTATTCTCTTTGTCTGTCTTTTCTTCATCCTTTACCGGCCCCCCTCAGGCTTGCCGAACCCTTGGCTGTGCTGGGTCAGCACAGCAAATCACAATTTTCATGGCTGCTTAGTATTTTTTACATTTTTACTTTCATAGCACCTTCACGATTTAGCACCTCGCTCCAGCATTTTGGGTGAATGGGGCCATTTTTCTCCACAGCCAGGCCAATCGTTGGCTGGTCAGCCAGCAGCCAAACCTGCCCAAAGCATGAACTGTGGCCTCCCTGATGCAGGGCTATGAGACAGAGGGGTTGGCTAGGATGAAACACAGGACACATTGGTTTTCAAGGGGCCTACATCTCAGGGGGGGGCCACAGCCAGCCCCAAATTACACTCAGGGAAGAGGGTCATTCCGCACATCCCTACCTCACCGAGTTGGTGCTAGAGATGGAAGAGGCACAGGAAGATGTGAGGAAAAGGAAGCCTTTCACCATGGAACAGGCCTCTCAGAGGTGCCACTGGGGCTTTTGGGGGATGAACGGGAAAGGTTTGAGATGTCAAAAGTACAGGATCTGAAGCATCCCGCATGTCCATCAAAGCTGGGAATACCTTGGGGCTTGGACCAGCAGAAAAGAGGGCAGCGTGTCACCCTGAATCACAGAACCCTTGTCCTAGAGTCTGGGGTCCAGAACCCTCTGCTCCAGACAGACCAGACACAGCGCTGACCAACAGGTAGGCCTGATTGTAAGCCACTCCAGTCATGGTGAAGCTACCTGGGCGACGTTCTAGAACACCAGCATAGAGAGATACCCACTACCTCCGACATGCACCCCTCTTAGCTCCAAGAAGGTGTGATTACACCCCACCTTTAAACAAGTTGCCTCCATTTCCCTTTGGACTCAACCTGGAGGGCACTGCTCTCACGCCTCTGCAGGTGGTTCCTCCCCACACCAGGTGGGTCTCTCTCGCTCCCCAATCTGGAACACAGTGGCCCAATCAAACCAGTACTCACTGGACGAGCCCAAAAGCCAGAGAGAGCCAAGTCACATTCTGGCCCGGTTACTACTGGTGCAACCTGAGGTGAGTCAGTGCTGCCTCAGCTCTGAGGCTCTGCCCTTGGAACCTTTCACCTATTCTAATAACAGCACCTTGATTTTCCCACAGGGAGCCATCCCTCCAGCTCGGTCCACAGCATTCAGGTGGGGAAATCCCACGCCTGCACCAACCCGGCTCCCTAGGTGCTGGTCACTGTCACCGGTCCCAGTGGCCATGAGACCCAGCCAGGTTGATGGGAACGACCCCGAGGCACTCTTTCTCGGGGTGTGAGTGCCGTGTTGCAGGACCATGCAAACCTGGAGATGCTGAGAGAGACCTCAACACACGGGGCTTCTGGATCCAGCTGCGCCTGATGCCACCCATCCCAACAACTTCATAGTGGCATGAGCCTACACGTTTCTAGTCTCTCCCCCTTTTGGTTGTTGCTTTTCCAGATAGTGGGAGTTGCGTTTTTGTCATTATAACCGTAAGTCTGGCTAGAAGGAAACTGATCCCACAAGTGTGATGTCAGCGAGGACAATCCCTGAAGTACAGGACTGGCAGAGTAGAGGTCACGTACGGGAATGAAGTCTGACGCCTTCCAGCTAAGAAACTGGAATTCGAGATACATAGCAACAGCTGTTAAAATTCAGCCTATTCTGTCTTGAGTCGAGACCTTGGGCTACGGAGGCTGGAACTTTAGGGCATGTGGTGGAACATTCCAGAATATAAGCCTATGGTGGATACTTTTTGGGCTGCTCAGAGTAGGGCCCACAAGAGGGGGCAAAATTTACTTCTGGTATCCCCTGAATGACACAGCTTGGCTAAGGATCCCTCTTCCCTGTGGACAATTCAAAGTGGCTGAGGGTCAAGTGAGAACATCAGGGCTGGACGTTCTCTGCTCCTGCTGAAGGTAGAGGAGGAGGCAGGAAGACCAGCCCCTGTGAGGACCGAGGGCTGGGCGGGGGAAGGCCCGACATCCCAGGACGTCACCTCTGCCATGGCTCTCACCTGCTGCTAGGCAACCAGATGCTGCTTGGGGGCAAGGAGCGTGTGTACCCCAGCCTCGCCCATGGCTTACCCACTGAACTGAGGGCCGGGGGTGCTGAGAGGAGCCTAAGGTCTGCTGCTTTAAGAGACATATCATACTTCTAGGTGTGGATCTAGATCTAAGGACCCTGAATCAACACAATCTTTGTCTCTAGTTTCTCATCCATGAAGGTGATCTAATGCCAAATGCCCACAGGCTTATTACTAGGGAGTTCCAGGAGGGGGCAGAGACAGACAGACCCCAAACCTGGCAAATGCGGCCTCAGACCACTCAACTCAAAAGGCTATCCCAGGTGTGACAGCCAGTTTGGAAGTGGGCTGCTGAGGAGCAGAAGCCCCAAGGGGATTTCACAAATGCCCCTCTTGGGTGTCACTGAATGGAACTGGGGCACTCATGTGGCCACAGCACCACAGCCAGGCAGCAGGCCCACTGTCCCGCCCTAGCAGGCCCTGGTAATAGGCTACAGATGGGCCACCTCGGGGGTGTTTGTGTGTCCTGGTGTTTCCAACAGCAGATTCCACGGACACCATGGCCTGTGGTGCAGAGACTGGGCAGGAAATAGTGGCACCAGGTAGCTCATGACTCACCAGTTCTGCCTCTGCAGGCTTAGCCCCTCCCCCTGAGCAGCTGTTTCCTAGAGCCAGGGCACACCAGCTGCGGGCTTTGCTCACCTGCCTGCCTCCCTCAAGGGAAGGGACCTTAACTGTTCTTCTCGGTACGTCTGGTAAGCACTTGCTCATCCAGCTTCTTGCCAATTGTACTTCCCCCTGTGAGAGCTGAACTTCCCAGCCTCCAGAACCATGAGAAATAAATTACTTTTGCTTAAGCCACCAGTCTATAGCATTTTGTTTTGGCAGCCCAAACCGAATAAAACACCCTCTTGCTCATAAGTGGAGTTAGGACCAGTGGCCGGGCATCCCCATCCCCTATTCTGTGCATGGGGAAACCCACTGGGTACCCCCCAAACGTAGGGAAATCAACATCATGCATAGTCTGGAGGCCACGTGCATGGTCTCAGTCAAGCACACGCAGGGCCAGGTGAACCTCAGCATGCCAAGCCGCAGGCACAGTCACTGCAACAGGACAGGGAGGACAGGCAGAGAGGATGCAGGCAAGGGGGATGCCGCGTGCAGTCAGTGAGGGGCGGGGAGCCGGCACAGCCCACGACCGAGCAGTCCACGCCTCGGTGCCCGGTTCCTTACCTCCCCTGCAGGACCTCTGACCACCAAGAAGCTGGAGGCGTGCTGGAAAGAGTACAGAGCAGGAGACAGGGAGCAGTAGGCACCGAGCCAGTTCTACAGGAAAAAAAGTGCTGGAGAGGACCCCCAAGGAGAGGTGTTAGGTTCGGGAAGTCTGTGGCGGGAGTGGTTTCCAAGAGGCCCAACGGACCCAAACGCCAAATGAAGATCAACCCCCCCGAGACTGGCCTGTGCCGGGGCCCAGAGAAGGGAACGAGAGAGCAAAGGGAGGAAAAGCCCACAGACTGGACCGCCCAGAGGGGCACCTGCCCTCTGCAGGCGGGTGCTGGGACTGTCCGGGGTGACGTTCTCGGCAGATTTCCTGGGGTGGCGGGAACAGTCTCTCCTCAGGGAAAGGGGTCCGGGCCCCAGCAGTGGACGACAGCCATCAGGAAGCCCCATCAGCCAGGGACCAGGAGGCTAGGCCCTGCACAGACATCACAGCCAATGCCCCAGGACCCAAGGGGGACGGAGGAATGGGGGTGGGGACTCATATTCCAAGGCCGACATCAGAGAGTGGAGGTTCCTGTCCTGGCTCCACCTCACACTTCTGGGCAACGTGGAACCAGGCACAGAGTTTCTCTGGGCCTCAGTTTCCCCATAGGTAAGATGGAGAGAAGGTCCCTCTCTACGTTGGAAAGTGGGTAACATACAGTCTGCCAATGCCGGACACCAAATCCCCACAGGGCCACAGAAATTTCTAGACTTTTCTCTGGGGATTGGTTGGTGCTGAAATAGGGAGAGGATCATGCATTCAAGATTCCCGGGCAGAGGGCCCATGCCTCAGGCTCTGTGATCCCAGCGCTTCTGCATCCCGAAAAGGAGGAGCCTGAAGCACAAAATTTGGGGTGGGGTGGGGTGGTGGTGAAGGGACTTCCACTAACATGAAACACCTCGGGGTCCGTTCAAAGGCACTATTACCCTAGATGGGCCATTCACAGCCCCCTCTATCGTAAAATTCCTACATCACTGACCCTGGGTGTCGTGGTCTCCACCAGAGCACCCCTCACCCTAGGAACTGGTTCTGACCTGCCCACCCCTGGGTCCTGCCACCACCTCCCCGCCCCGGACCACTCACGCCAGGTGCACAACCAACACCTGAGCAGGGACAGGCTGCTCTGTACCATCAAGCACCCAATTGGTATGCATTGCCAGCCACCAGCACCAGCCTGACAATGGGATGTCACGTTTTTAAGCCTTTCTCAACCTGGTCACACAACCAATTCCTCTCGGTCACAGTCACCCTGCGAGGGCAGGCATTACAGCCCTGCCTTACAGATCAGTCAGCTGCGGCCAAGAAAGGGGACGAGGGGATTTGCGCAAAGGCATACAGTGGGTAGCTAGTTGTCGACAGAGCCTGGGTGGGAACCTGAGTCTTCTAACATTCAGCCTGTTGCCTGCCGTTAGCCAGCATGCCCTGCTGGTGTCCACCTAGCAGGTTGGGCACTACCCAGAGGTGACGTATCTTGGACATCAGCCTTGGCAGGCTCACCCTCAACCCAGCATCTGCTGCCCTACAGCAACCGCCTGCTCCTGGCACCAGGGAAGCTGAGTGTGACGAGCAGGGCATGAGTGGGGAGTCCCCGCGGGGCCCACACCTACCTTTGATGACAAAGGCCTCCGCCAGCAGCCGCATCTGATACAGGGGCTTGTTCTCCATGGACATGTCATCGATCCCGGCCCGCGCGTACATGCTGATGGCGTCCCGGTAGGAGCCCTCCACATAATGCAGCTTGCCCAGGATCAGCATGGCCTCACACATGTACCTCGGCTGGAAGGACAAGGACCACATGAGCAGGCTCCCGGCCCAAAGTCCCTGCCTCACCCACCCCAACAGGAAGGAGGAGCACGCTCTCACTGGAGCCGTGACAATCTGCCCAAGACCCTGCTCAGAGACCTCCTGCAGGAAGCCTTTCTTGATCTTCAAGCACATGCCCTGGGCTCCCTTCTCTCCACACCTGCAGTTCATGGCCTACTTATTGAAATAATTCTTCCTCCTCCTCCTCCTCCTCTTGTTCTTCTTCTTCTTCTTCTTCTTTAAAAATATATTTTATTGATTTTTTACAGAGAGGAAGGGAGAGAAATAGCTAGAAACATCGATGAGAGAGAAACATCGAACAGCTGCCTCCTGCATGTCCCCTATTGGGGATGTGCCCACAACCAATGTACATGCCCTTGACCGGAATCGAACCTGGGACCTTCCAGTTCTCAGACCGACGCTCTATCCACTGAGACAAACAGCTACTTATTGAAATTCTTGACATTCGTATTGAAATTCTCTCAGGAGTCCCCTGACTGTTTCACGTGTGTGTTGTATGCATCTTGCTCCACTGCAGGCAGCCTGCAGACTGGGCCACCTTCTCTCTCCTGCCGCCCCCAGAGGCTGTGGCAAAGGCTGGCACTCAAGAGTTCAAACACTTGTTTTCAATGCAAGAGAGGAGCCAGGGACCAGCCCCATTTTGGGGCGCCTGATATAATTTGGGGTAGGGGTGCATAAATATACACAAATATATACAATTAGGCGGAAGGCCTTGGAGAGAACCATGCAGGTGACAGGCCTCAAGCGGAAGCCCCCACCCCACAGCAGGACCTTTGTGGGGAAGAAGGCGACATCAGCAGCGTGGGACAGAGGGAGGAGGAGAGTGAAGGCCTGACGGACCACCATCCCATCTTATCAGAAACAGGTAATAAAAATAAACCCCATCAAATGCCTGAATTCAAACCCGTTCTCTCTGCTTCACTTTTCCAAGTGCTGCTTATGCCCAAGTCTGCATCCCATACAAGGACTCTCAGGCCTGGAGGAGGTCTCGTTGGCTCTGCCCCAGAATCATGGCCTTCAACATGGGCCGGTCTGCCTTCAAGATCTCCCACCTTTGGGGCTCCTTACTCCAGTCTGCTGTCTTCCTTTCTATGCTCAGCAGGCCCACCTCCCCTTTGGCCAGGCTGCAGGCACTGTCCCACCAGCAGCGTCGGTTCTGTCCACAGAGCTCCCTGGAGAAGTAGCGCTGGTTCCCGACCCAGCCTATCTCCGCAGGAAGGAGCTGCCCCTGACTCCCTGCAGGGCGATCAGACTTTGGGGCACAGTGACTGACTCTGGGGCACAGTGACAGACTCTGGGGCACAGTGACAGACTCTGGGACAGAGTGACAGACTCTGGGGCACAGTGACAGACTCTGGGGCACAGTGACAGACTCTGGGACAGAGTGACAGACTCTGGGGTACAGTGACAGACTCTGGGGCACAGTAACAGACTCTGGGACAGAGTGACAGAGTCTGGGGCACAGTGACAGATTCTGGGGCACAGTGACAGACTCTGGGACAGAGTGACAGACTCTGGGGTTCAGTGACAGACCCTGGGGCACAGTGACAGACTCTGGGGCACAGTGACAGACTCTGGGACAGAGTGACAGACTCTGGGGCACAGTGACAGACTCTGGGGCACAGTGACAAACTCTGGGACAGAGTGACAGACTCTGGGGTACAGTGACAGACTCTGGGGCACAGTGACAGACCCTGGGGCACAGTGACAGACTCTGGAGCACAGTGACTGACTCTGGGGCACAATGATGGACTCTGGGGCACAGTGACAAACTCTGGGACAGAGTGACAGACTCTGGGGCACAGTGACAGACCCTGGGACAGAGTGACAGAGCACAAGGGAAGCTTCCACCACTCTCCACCGTCGACTGCCCTCTCAGAAGCCAACTGAAAGAACGGAGCATGGCACAGCCAAATTCTCCTTCCTCGTGGTCCTTTTTGGTTTCTGTAAATACACATTCTACCTTTGCCTTTGCTCACACAGGCCCCCTATCTGGAACAGTCTCCCCTTCCCTCAAGCTGCCCAGCTCCTCCTCCATCCTTTGGGGTCTTACTCAGGCCCACCTCCTCCTAGAAGCCTCCACAGAAAAGGCCTTCACCTCCTCCTAGAAGCCTCCCTGACTCCCCGGGAGCTCCCTTCTGCTGAATTCCTACAATGCCCCTACCAAATGGGCCCCGTCATCTCCCGTAAGCCTGGCCCACTGACTACTGATTAACTCTCAAAGGCTGGATTTTTCAAGGGCACCTGCTGGTCTCCCGGGCAGGCCACCCCCTCCCTGGGCTAGAGCCAGACGTTACCCCCCTCCCCAGGGGCATGCAGCCCAGGGTTCCTCCAAGAGGGGCAACATCTCTGCTACTCCCTGCATTGGTTTCAAGCCACAGGCATGTTTCCTCCTTGCTCGTCCTCGTTCTCCCATCATGAGGGCCAGATCTAACAACCACTCCTCACCTCCCATCACAGCAATGCCAAGAGCATTCATAGGGCAAAGTCCAGAAAAGAGCTTTGAACTTTTCTTTAGAAAGAAGCATGGTAAGTACAGGGCACGAGTGATTATTATTATCATCCTGTAAATGGGGAAGCGCGTAGCTAAGTTCCGAAGGACAAGTTTCAGGGCATGATGATAGGGTGGCGCTAGATGCTTGCTGGTGGACCAATGACAATTTACAACAAAGCTTCCACCTAGCTGGGGACAAATTAAGGGCCATAAAGATGAATTTATACTATTTAAAAAGCTGCCCTTGCCGAGGCCGGTTTGGCTCAGTGGTAGAGCGTCGGTCTGCGGACTGAAGGGTCCCGGGTTCGATTCCGGTCAAGGGCATGTACATTGGTTGCGGGCACATCCCCGGTGGGGGGTGTGCAGGAGGCAGCTGGTTGATGTTTCTCTCTCGTTGACATTTCTAGCTCTATATCTCTCTCCCTTCCTCTCTGTAAAAAATCAATAAAAATATATTTAAAAAAAAAATAAATAAATAAATATAAAAAGCTGCCCTTAATTCGGAAAGCATATTTGTCTTGCCTTATGGTGTTATGATGGTAATAGAATATGGTATAGTTTTGCTTTGTTGTGTGTTGTTTTTTTTTTTTTTTAATATCACCCATATTTGGCAGATTTGAAAGGTGGCTACCCTCTGTGGGACCTGTGCATTTGAATTTGAAATGTTGTTGGCCTGTCAACCCAATAGTCAGGGAACCACAGAGCCCGGGCTCACTTGAAGGAGGCTACACAGGAAGTCGCTCGGTCTGGGGAACAGTCCCCCTGCTGTGGAGCAGGCCTGTCGCCTAGTCTTGTGCCTCATTGTCTCTGTCAATGAGAAGGGAAGAACGACCACATGTGAATACCCAGGTGAGAGGAGAGGAGAGATGAAGAAATGCTTCTCAGAGGCAAAATGGAACCTGTAAAAGCCAAAGTGCCACCATCATCACTAACATTAATACGAGCCTCTCTGTCATTGTTTTATTTCCATTCCAGGACGTAGAATGAAAAGTAGCAAAGAGCATGAGGACTTGAGAGGTGCAGACAAACAGGACTGCGTGTAAGTCCTAGAGCTGCTCCCATGGTCCTTGGCTAAGTGACTAACCTTTCTTCACCTGGAAAATGGGGATACTAGGAAATGCCACTGAGAAGGTCATCAGAGGCACCCAGGAGATGGTGCAATGCCTGGTGCTCAGTGGATAGCTAGTTAGGACAAATGGTTGTTTTCACCGACCTCCACAGAACTGAGCTGGGCAGGGTCCTACAGGTCACCAAGAGTAGGTTTCAAACTACCTTGAGGAGATGCCCCAGGACCCGCCCTCTCCACTCTCCTCATCCATCACAGTTACTATACAGGAATCCACCTGGGATTTCATCTGCTTCCAGGAAAAATTACCCCCTCCTCAGCCATACTCCAGCCTTTGGGTAAGATAGAGAACCTCAGAAACTACTTTTAATGTTTTATTTTGCCTGATCAAAGTTAATTTTTTTGGCTTTGGCCTAGATAACAGGGAATTTCTCAGAGTTATCAGTGACTCTGTATGTCTTTGATGAATAAAGCATGGTAAAATTTGCAATCCTATATAATAAAAGCCCAGCGATCGAAGGCGCCATGACCAGAACAACCAGTCGACTAGTCACATGCACGGACCACCAAGGGGCAGACGCTCAACACAGGAGCTTCCCCCTAGTGGTCAGTGTGCTCCCACAGTGGGAGTGCCACTTGGCTGGCTGGGATGAGAGGTGCTCCCACAGTGGGCCAATTTGTTCCCCACCAGTGCACGAATTCCGTGCACTGAGCCTCTGGCATAAAATAAACAAAACAGTTTTTCCACAACAATACATGTGTATACTATTAGGCCAATACAAAGGAAGAGGCATTGGCATGGAGAAAGTTCCAAGTGAAAGTTCTCAGTACAAAAGAGCAAATTTTCAAAGATGTAGCCTGTGACTCCAATAAGAAAAGAAAGCTTTACATGTGTGTACGCGTTTGTAAACACAGAGAAAGGAGGGTGGGACAAACGCCCAGCGATGGCCAGTGCTCAACTATGGGGACGGGAATGGGGTAGGGTTTTGAGGGGTGGCAAACAAGGACTTTTATTTATTATTCGAATTACTTGTTTATGTAGTGAATTTATTATAAGAAGCCAAAGTCTTATTTGTTTTTAAAACAATTTTTAAATATTTAATGGTTTCTACTGGAAAGAAAAAAATTGAGAGAGGCCTTAGTGAAAAGAGCTTGAGACTCACCAATCATGTCCAACCCTTTTGATTAGTAGAAGGGGAACTGGAGGGCCCAAGAGGTCAGAGGACATGCTCAGGGTCAAGCAGCTATTTTATTTCAATACAAAATCTCTCAGAGCCTCAACAATCCCATCCCAGTAATGAGTCTAAAGGCGGTAACCTTAAACTTCCAGTACTCCTTACAGAAAAAGCAGGGTGCTTCTTGGTGTGGTGTTCCAGTCCTGTTCCAGTCCCCATTCTCCGGACCCACACTGTACTTTTATAAACTAATCACCCACCATTCCCTTTTACTCTTCCTAATTGACACATTTTAATGTAACTCTTATAAGAGGAACACTTAGATTACACACTGCTTCCTGAGCTTGGAATGCTCTGTCGCTCTGTCCTATCTCTGTGTATCCATCTCCCTCCCACTTCAAGGCCCAGCCCTCCCCAGGTCCAATTCTAGCAGTATTACCATCTCCGAGTTGACGCCTACCTCACCCCCAGGACTGTTCCCCTCGGACTTGGCTGCACATGTACACATGCCTGTGGCTTGTGCCAGAGTCCACCCTGGACAGTGTGCTGATAGGAATTATCTTCCCAGGAGACCTGCAACCTCCCGGAGGACAGGGTCCATGCTGAACTCATCTTTATTGCTCTCAAAGTACATAACACAATGCCTTGCACATAGTAGGTTGTAATCAAATGCTTAGGTTAATAAATACATTACTTTAGAACATTTCTAGAAAGATTATATCTTCTTTGGGTCTCTAATGACATATCAATACTTCTACTATAGCTCAGGATGCTCTGTTAATCTAGAACAGTTGCAAGTGTTAATGTGCAATAATCACACAGAGAGCTTCTTAAATGCAGATTCTGATTCAGATTTTTGCATTTTATAACCAGCTTCCAGATCATGCCCAATCTACAGGTCTAGAGAAAGCTGTGACTATACTTTCCTCGGTGTCTTGCATACAGTAGGCGCTCAATAAATGCACTTGGCCTTAAACTGGATTGCTGTTGAGCTCTTCCGTCACTAGCCAGCTCTGCATGTTTGCCTGTTTCCAACTAGATCTTGGGCTCACTATTTCTTGAGACCCCCACAGCGCACACAGGACCAGGGACATACTAGGTCAACTAAGCACTGTCCAATAGAAATATATTTAAGCCATATGTGTGACTTAAATTTTCTAATAAAATGTTCTAGACACATTAGAAAGGGTCAAATTAATTTTAATAATTTTATTCAACTCAATTCAACCTATCATTTGAACATGTAATCAGTGTAAAGTATTAATGCTGTTTTACACTACGTCTCCAAACTCCAGCGTAATGTTTTACACTTATAGCACGTCTCAATTTGGATTAGCCACATTTCAAGTGTATATGTAGCGGGTGGCTACTGTACTGAACAGCACAAGGCCAACCCTAAGGGACACATGCTGCCCAGGTGATGGAATAACTCCGGGAGGTTGAGAGCAGGTAGGAGGCAGGAGAGGAAAGGTGGTCCCAGACTCGGAGGGCTGACAACATACCGACAGCTTCCCATGGTTGAGGATACTACTCAGGTAGTTTTTGGCTTCATTCATCTTTGGCTCATTCTTCTCCAGCAAAGGGATGAAGTCTTTTATCTTGGCATTGTTCTCTTTCAAACACTGCTCCAGGAGGGACTCGGCCAGGAGCAATTTTTCAAAGTCATCTGAAAAACAGGGCCGTGATCCCTGAGCATGGCACATGTGGAGACTGGGACTTGTCCCTGTAGCGACCCAACCACCCCATCCCAGCACATAAATTTCCCAGGTTCAAGAAAATCAATAAAGGCACTGTTTCCACAGACTTAAAGAGCCACACACACACACACACACACACACACACACACCCCAGCAGGCATTCTACCATTAAAGCACCATAAACCATCCCTTTGAGTTTATTTTCTATAGTTTAGTGGTTGGGGAGGCAGTTTCCAGGATTCGAGGCAAATTACCAGAACTTCAGAATTGAAAATGAGGCACAAAGTCACACCCGTGACCCATTGTGGGTAATACGTTCTTAAACCAAGAAGGAATTTCCCCAGATGACCAGAGGAGAAAATGATGAGACAGTTTAATAATGCATTTCCACATGCTCCTAATTTCCATAGAACCACATTTGGTTTTCTCCATCTTGAAGGCATTTTATTTAACATGACCCCAGAAGAACCTAGCAACCAAGTGAAGAGTTGAGGTAGGAAGCAAGGCAAATCCTTGAACAGGTGTGGTATCGGCACTTTCTGGGGTTTTCTCACATATGCCAGCTTATCTGCAGACCTCACCGCCGGGCAGGTGAATTTATAGCGCTTGGTGTAATTTGCTGCCTCCCCCACTACACTGTACACTCCAGTCTAGTGACCACCATATTCCTGCTACCGACAGCAAAAGTGACTTGGGTGAGAGGAGAATTCGGGGCTACAGTGTGCACGGCCAGAGGTCAAGTGTACTTTTATGACGGCTCAAGCGATAGTGCTTAATGTGACTGGTTCATTTTCCTTCCCTTTCAACTGGGTGAGGATCAGGCCCACTACTCATCTAGGTGCCCAGCAAATAGCTGCGGAGTGAACTGGACCCTCACCACTGCCCCAGGAGGCAGCCACAAGCCTCCGGGAGCTACGTGACAACCCAAAATGCGTCCAGGAATGTGTGCTTGGTCCTATCTCTTCACAGAGCTCTTTCTCCCGCCACGGATCACTGTCAGACCTACCTGGGGATGCCACTAATTCCTCACTCTTAGGCCCACCTCAGTTAGTCATAACTCAAAGCCACTGGTTCCAGCCTGGCCAGTGGGACTCACAGCTTGAGTGTCAACCTATGAACCAGGAGGTCTTGGTTCAATTTCTGGTCAGGGTACATGCCCAGGTTGCAGGCTTGATCCCCAAAAGGGGGCATGCAGAGGCAGCCGATCCATGATTCTCTCTCATCATTGATGTTTCTATCTCTCTCTCCATTTCCCTTCCTCTCGCTGAAATTAATAAAAATATATCCTATAAAACACACACACACACACACACACACACACACAAAACAAAAAAAAAAACACACCAGAATATGCAAATTGAGCATAACTCCGCAACAAAAGATGGCGGCGCCCACAGCCAATAAGGAGGGAATATGCAAACTGACACAACAAGAGGCAAGATTCAGAAGGCAGCTCCAGCCAGAGCAAAGGCGGTGCCAGCAGCCAGGGGAAGGAAGGCTTATTCTTGCACGAATCTTCATGCATCAGGCCTCTGGTTTTTTAATAAAAAAGAATAACAAAATAAAGCCACTGGTTCCTAACTGCATGCCTCTGAAGAAGATTCTCCATCTATAAGGGAGATTCCATGCAGAGAACATCCCAAAAGCCCAGAGTTCAAAGCAGAGGTCCCCAACCTTTTGGACCCCATGGACCACTGGTAGTCTACAGACCACCAATGGTCCACGGACCACCAGTTGGCGAATGCTGGTCCACAGAACAGTCGGGACACCATAGCCTTTTAGCGGATCCTTTGCTATACCTACCTCTTGATTTCTCAAATTAAGATTTGGAGGAAATGGCCAGACAAGTACCTGGTTGAAACTATCATCCATCACTGGTAGAACAGAAAGGGCAATTTAGCAACATATATCAAAATTATTTTTGCACATTGCCACTGACTCAGCAATTCTGCTCCTACAGATGTCCTTGCAAATGTGTAAAGTAACCTACGTATAAGGTCATTCCTGTAGCATAATTTGTAATAGCAGAAAATTAGAGGAAACCTGTATGTCCATCAACAGGAGGCTGATTAAAGCATGGCACATCCATAAAAAGGGACACCACGCTGCTATAAAAAGGAATGAGGAAGCTCAGTATGTGCTATTACGGAGGAATGAATTACAAACTAAATGGATAAGCAAGCAGAATCCAGCCCTAGCCAGTTTTCTCAGTGGTGAGAGCACTGTTTCCAAATCTTGGCCAGGAGTGAAGGGATGCTTAGCAGTGGGTGCCTGAAAGGGGCACCTCTAGGCAAACTGCTCTCCCTCACCTGCTCTGCCTCTGTGAAACCAGGAGTGGGGTTAGGAACCTGTTCCTGGCAGGGCTCCGCCCCTCCCAGGGCTCCGCCCCTCCCAGGGCTCCGCCCCTCCCAGGGCTCCGCCCCTCCCAGGGCTCCGCCTCCTGGGCTGGTCCCCGCCCTCCTCCTGCTCTGCTCTACAACTGCTGGCTCCCCACCAGTGCAGGGCGGAGCCATCCAGCCACCTGGCCCCGCCTCTGCCACCCCACTGCCCAGCCCCGAGCTCTCCACGGTTCACTGGCTCAGCTCCTTTCAGGCCTGGAGAAACCAGCTTCCTTCCAGGCAACCCTCAATCTTGAAATACTCCCCAGGGCACACACCCGCTCCTCAAAATTATGGGAGTGCCCTCTGAACACTTGTTGCTCAAAGTATAGTCCCTGGACTAGAACAGGTAGGTCTGTGAGTGTTTGACCCAGTCCCTGGAGGTTAAGTGCAGAAATTTAGAGTACACGTTCACAAAGGTTGACAATAACGTGACAGAAGGATTTTGAATCTGTTGAACTGAATAATAAAAAAAAAAATGGGAGGGTAAACGTTTGTGTATCTTATGAAAGTATCAGATTGGGTACATAAAGTCATAAAACTGGTCCTCACAGATCATTTGAGAAGCACTGCTCGAAACCACAAAAGCGCCTTTTTAAAAAATGTACACGTTTTATGGTTGGCACTATTGCCAATGTCCCACATCCTCCCACCCCCCTTTGTCCACCTCTACCCGGCCCCCGGCTCTCCCTCCTTGGCCCTCACATCACTACTGTCTGGGGGCATACCGTTTCCCCGAAAATAAGACAGTGTCTTATGTTAATTTTTTCTCCCAAAGTTGCTAGGTCTTATTTTCAGGGGATGTCTTATCTTCCATGCGCTAGGTCTTATTTTCGGAGGATGTCTTATTTTCGGGGAAACACGGTATATGTTCTTTAGCCAATCCCTTCACCTTTTAATGAGTAAGGGAGACTAATATTTGTTGAGGGCCTACTGAGTGCCAGGTACTTTATTATAAAGTATCATTTAATCAGCATGGCCCTAAAAGGTAGATACTATTCCCACTGTATAGATGAAAATGAAAATAGGCAATAGTAGCCGAAACCGGTTTGGCTCAGTGGATAGAGCGTCGGCCTGGGGACTGAAAGGTTCCAGGTTCGATTCCGGTCAAGGGCATGTATGTTGGTTTCAGGCACATCCCCAGTAGGGGGTGTGCAAGAGGCAGCTGATCGGTGATTCTCTCTCATCGATGTTTCTAGCTCTCTATCCCTCTCCCTTCCTCTCTGTAAAAATCAATAAAATATATTTAAAAAAAGAAAAGAAAAGAAAATAGGCAATAGTATCATGGCCACAGCCCATAACAATAAAATGGCACAGCCAAAGGATAATCTGTCTCCCTTGCATCCTATGCAGAGCAAAGCTTCAGATAGATCCTGTAGAAATAAAGAACAGTCTAAGAGCTGCACACAACAGGTTCAAAACGAAGAGTGCCCTGGCCAGTGGCTCGGCTGGCTGGAGGCAAACTGATCGATGTTTCTCTCTCCCTCTCCCTTTCTCTCTCTCTCAAATCAATACAATCATTTTTTTTTTTAAAGAAACTATTACTAATTCCAAGGGCAGGGATAAGAATTATTCTCACTGTCATATACATACGAATTCAAGACTATTTTATTTTTTTTTAAACTGTTTTTTTTGTTTGTTTGTTTTAAAATATATTTTTATTGATTTTTATACAGAGAGGAAAGGAGAGAGATAGAGAGTTAGAAACATCGATGAGAGAGTCAACGATCAGCTGCCTCTTGCACACCCTCTATTGGGGATATGCCCGCAACCAAGGTACATGCCCCCGACCAGAATCGAACCCGGGACCCCTCAGTCCCCAAGCCGACGCTCTATCCATTGAGCCAAACCAGTCCCGGCAAGCCTATTTTATTTTCTAAAAATTTTTTAAAAATGTATTTTATTGATGTTTTTACAGAGAGGAAGGGAGAGAGATAGAGAGCCAGAAACATCGATGAGAGAGAAACATTGACCAGCTGCCTCCTGCACAACCCCCACCGGGGATGTGGCCGCAACCAACGTACATGCCCTTGACCGGAATCGAACCCAGGACCTTTCAGTCCGCAGACCGATGCTCTACCACTGAGCCAAATCGGTTTTGGCAAATTCCAGACTATTTTATAAATTAACACTTCAGCTCCTTCTCCAAAGCCATTTTCCCACCTCTTCACCCCCACTTATTCTGCTTTGTTTAGCAGACACTCCATAGGTGTTGGGAATTTACTTCCTTTTCTTGCTCACTTCTCCTCCCTGCACCATTCTTTCTCTTCCTTCCCCCCTTTCTTTCCATCCTATTATCCTCAACTGGCCAGTCTAGGGAACTGAAGGATATTTTAAAATGAAAAGTTCTGGATTTTCAGTTGTTAAACGAGAATCCAGGAGGATGGATGGAGGCTTTCCTGTCCTTCTCTGAAGGCAGGACAGATTGCTTTTTATCGCTGTATTGTCCAAAATCTACTCCCTACACGGTTTGGGCAAAGAGGTCCAGCTCCTCCCCTGCTGGGGGCATCCCCTTCTTGACAGAATGAGACAGACTCTGGGAACCTGGGTGCTGATTCAGGCAGTCCAGCCCAGCCCCCTGCCCTTGACAGAGACTCAAATGAGGCCACCACCTAATGGCCACCCTGACTGCCCACCCGTTGTGAAGGACTCTGGCAGCTAGCATCCTCTCTGCTCCCAAACTCTCCAAGCCTCTCCTGGGTGCCAGGTCACAGAGACCCACTTCAAAGACACCCGCCTCCTCCCCGCACCCACATTTGCAGGACAGTGCTCCCCTCTCCACAACCTGCCAATTCGTTGTCTGGAAACCTGGGTTCAGCCAGCAAGCCCTGCGCTCAGACCAGGTCCCTCCTCACTGGGTCACACCGGGATGTCTCCACAGCTGCTCACCTCACAGGGCTGCAGCGGGTGGGGACCTTCCAAGCGTTGAGAGAGAAGGAAGAGGCTGACCCTAGTGAGAGGCCACCTGCCTCAGACACCCCTTCTAACTTCATCTGAAGAAACACTCGTTAGCTAACCACTTGGACAGACTCTTTGTCTTTACACAAACAAACCCCACCACAGAGGTTTTGTTCCATCCTGATCAACTCTACACCGGATGTGAGTTTGAAAGCAAATGTACAAAAAGGAGCAACCACCTTCCCCCTGGGTGGGTGGCGGGCAGTGGCCTCCCCAGACAGGAAAGGGCGTAGGGGCCCTTCTGAGGGAGCTTCTCCTAGTCCTTCCCTCCCACCAGACCAGCAAGAACTCAGCGGGGCCCTCCCCTCCTGCCCTCTGCAGTGAAACCCATGCTTTGGGATTTTAGCTTCTGAGGGAAACCCCACAGATGCGGCAGGGCCTCAGGGCCTCAGCCTGTAAAATGGGTTTCAGCTGGGGCTTGGCTCCCCCTCAGTACCTTCTTCCCCTCTCCCAAGTCATATAACTGTTAACGCTTCCAGTCACTGACCCGTCAGATCCAACAGGCCAGGTGGGACTTGAAGGAACTCCCTCCTGAGTTGCGGGAGGAGGGGAGAGGAGGAGTCAGTGCCAACAACACACTCCCCCCGCCTCCCACACACTCACAGAACAGTCTCTCAGTCCCTCAAGTGATCAAGAACCCCATGGAGCCCTAGCCAGTATGGCTCAGTGGATAGAGCGTCAGCCCATGGACAGAAGGGTCTTGGGTTCAATTCCAGTGAAGGGCATGTACCTAGGTTAATGTTTCTCTCATTCTCCCTTCCACTTTCTACGAAAACCAATGAAGAAACTATCCTTGGGTGAGGATTAACTAAAAAGAAAAGAAAAATGACTTCCCTAAGGGGGGAAAAGAAAATAAGAACCTCAAGGAGAGAGAACCAAGATAACAGACAATCCAATAAAAAGCTCCATGCATGGGCTTTAGGAGTCACTTGCTTTCCTTGCTCATGTGCATGCGTGCGTTCTGGGATAGTGTATCTGGATTTACCAGTGGAGGAGAAATCACTGGCTGACCCAAACCCCAAACTTGACAGGAGAGACCTCCCAGCATCCTTCAGTCTCTCGCTTGCTGGTCAGTTCCCCCAGTGAAGCCAGGCCAGGCCTCATATGCCCCACTCTGTTACTAGTAGAATTGGCTGCAGGGGTTCAGGCTTGGGTACAGGCTCTGCCATATACACGTCATGTGACTTCTCTGAGTCTTGGTGTCCATGTGTTTAAAATGGGGACAATAGTCTTGCTATGTGGCTCAATGGTTGAGCATCAGCCTATCAGTATGTTCAATTCCCAGTCAGGATTTTGGGCTCGATCCCTGGTAGGGGGCATGCAGGAGGCAGCTGATCAAAGATTCTATCTTATCATGGATGTTTCTCTCTCTTTAAAATAAAATATTTAAGACAAAAATGTAATGGGGAAAATAATTTCTGTCTTCCCCCCACAGGGTTGTTTACAAAAATTGGAGGGAAAAAAAATAGAGCCCTCGCTGGTTTTGCTCACTGGATAGCGCATCAGCCCATAGTCTGAATGGTCCCAGGTTCGATTCCAGTCAAGGGTACTTATCTCAGTTGCAGGCACGATCCCTGGCCCTGGCCCTGACAACCAATTGATGTGACTCTCTTACATCGATGTTTCTCTCTCTCTCTGTCTCTCCCTCTCCCTTCCACTCTGTCTGAAAATTGATGGGAAAAATATCCTCCAGTGAGGACTAACAAGAAAGGGGAGGGGGGGGGCAGAGAAAGCACTTTATACCATACCATATCATACCATTCATAAACTGTCATACCAGTGTTTCCCAATAATGCTTCATTGAATATAGTAAAGGAAGTTAGAAAAATGTGGTATTTATACTCTCACTTCAGCTTTAACATCACATGCAGGTGAGCACATTAAAGGCCCTTATAAGTCCTGCAGTTAAAACGTCTGTTTAACGATGTTGAATCCATTAGGTCTAATTTCTTAACTTGTGTGGCTCTCTGAACTCTTTCTTTCTGGGTCACCAATGAATAAACGTTTAAGACCTCTAAAGAATAGCTGAGGAAATACAGCCCAGTATGGACTGAACGAGGCCTGGTTCCTGTCTTGGTCCCAGTGTGTTTCTCCGCAGTGCCAACCTGACTCACATCCCCATACCTCTGAGAAGACCCCAGTGCCTTCTGTGTGGGTTACTCTCCACTTCCCACCCTCACCAGACTTACCCCACACCACCCACACAGGGGATGGAGAACCTGTAATGTATCTATTCTGCCCTAAAAAGAGGGGGTTTACCAGCTTCTCCCATATATGTACCACCTCTGGCCACGGCCACACTCAGAACTACCTCGAAGGTTCAACCTGACTGTCCGTCCCTGCCACCTAGCCCCCCTCAGTAGTCCTTCTATCCTCCCCCCTCATTGGACAGACACATTCTGTCCTTTCCACTGTCAGAGGTCAGTACATAATTCTGCTACTTCCTGAGTCCCGCCATCTAATGCACAATTGCCCTCTGATCGCCTCCCTGCCTCCCTGTCCATTTTGGTAGCTAGCTAGCTCTTCAGGCAGGGATTTGGTGCTACACATCTTTGAGAGGTAAGCATACACGTGATTAAAAGGATGTGCTGAGAAATCTGGGTTTAAATCCTGATGCCACCTCCGCTGATCCACTGGATGATCAAGTGACTTCCCTGAGCCTCCATATCCTTATCTGTAAGTGGGGCAATGGAGAGCGCCTGTTCCTTAGGGTTGTTGGGAGGAATGAATGAGTTGGTTAGAGTGCTCAGGACGGTGTCTGGCACTCAGTGAGTGCTAGGTAAGGGGTAGCTATTCCTATTACTATTATCATCATACCTTCTCCTCCACAGAGCCTTCCACAGGCAGTGTTTAACACCCTTTATAACTGTGTTTACTTCCTTCTTTCCACAGGGCTCTCAAGTGCTCAAAGACAGGGCTCAGAGAGCGCTCTGCAGGCTGAGCTGAGGGCACCAGGGACAGGATTTGAGGTTGGAGCCGGGGGGCGGGGCTTCCCCCACTGCCACATCAGGGTACTTTCCACCCAGGAGCCCAGCCCAGCCCAACCAGCCCCTACGGCTGAAGCCCAAAGCTGCCAGGGCCAGAGGGGTCCCCAGGCCCAGCTACAAACGAGGAAACTGAGGCTTCTCAGGCCTCTTCCACACTCCACCACCCGCCTCCGTGGATCATCAACGCCTCCAAGTAGGTCTGTTGTTGTGGACAGAGCTCACTGTCCACTGGACTTGGGGGAAGCAGAGGGAAGGCGCGGGGAGACACACAGTCAGTCTTCACCTGATGGGAGTTTCAAGGTGGTGCAAGAGTCCAGCCCAGCCCTAACTCATCTGACACGTGCCCGTACCACCATTTCACAATAGGTGGAAGTTGCCCACATGATCCTAAAGGGCAGAGAGCAAAAGACGTTCCTCTTCCCCACCTCCCTCCCCAAGCACCCAACCTGCACGAGTTCTCTCCTGGGGCAGGAAAGGCGATCTCCCTGCCCAGGCACCCCTCAGACCAGCGCTCCAGGAAGAGGAATACCCACGGCGCCCGGGGCAGTCGGGGCGCACTTCCTGGAGGAGGCGGCGCGTTTGGCGTGCGCGCTCCGGCTCGGGAGCCAGCCCCTTCCCTCGCTCCAGCTCACCGGTGTCCTGGGAGGTGAACAAGGCGCTGGGGAGGGATCTCCGGTTGCCTACGCCGCCGTGCACGACCAGCGCCTTCATCTGCCGGACCAGCAGGGGCACGCGGTGCCAGAGGCCCTCGGCGCGGCAGCGCTCCAGCTCGCCCTCTACCTTCAGGTGGGAGCCGTGTGCGCCCTTCGCAGCCATCTTCGCGCGGGCGCTGTCATGGGAGGCGCCGCCAAGAAGTGGAGACCCGGCCGGGGGCGGCGTCCCGGCTGGGGAGCACACGCAGGCGGGGTCGACGAGGGCGCGGACGGCGGCGTCCGGGGCCCCGGCAGTGGCGGGGGCCCAGGCGGCGGCGGGAGGGCAGCAGCAGCAGCACTGATGGCACCGCCCGACGCCTCCGGGCTGGGGCTCCGGCTGCGCGGCCCGGGCGCCGCGTCCAGAAGCAGCCTCCGCCGCAGCAGCAACAGCCTCTGCCGCTGCTGCTGCCGCCGCTGCTGCAGCTGCTGCCACAGCCCCCGCCCCGGGCCCGGGCGCCGCCAGCTGCGGGCCCGCCCCCGGCCTCCGCTCCACCCCCGCGGGGGCGGGGCGCGGCTCCGGGGGGCCGGGCGCGCCGGGGGCCGGCGGGGCCACCGCAGCCAGGCCCGCGAGGAGGCGCGCCCGCGGCCGCCCCAGCGCCAACCGCCCCCCGCCGCGCGCGCGGCGGCCTCGGCGCTCACTTTAATGCTGGGCGGAGTGCCGGCGCCCCGGGGGCGCCCCGCTGCGCGCCCCCTTCCCAACCCATCGGGGCTCTTGGCCTGGGGGACCCCCGACGTTCCGGCTTTGTGTGATGGCTCCCGTCACCGCGGCGGCCCCCGACACGTCACAAATCCAAGGAGAGGCCGGCCGGCCGGGGGGTCCCCCACCCCGAGAGCGAGGCTCCCCGGAACCCCGTCTCCGCCGCCCGGGTCCTGCCCGGCTCCCTGCGGGGAGCGCGCGGGCCCTGCTCGCCACCCCTGGGGTACGCGGGAGAGAACGGGCGGATTTGAGGCTCCCCACTCTAACGAACTGTTTCTTTCCTTTTTTTTTTAAACAGCGGAGTTCCTCTTTCCAACTCGACTCCCCTACACTAACCGACTGTTCTCCGCAGAATCCAGTTGCCCTGGATTTCTCAAAGGTTTTAAGCTGTTCCTCCAAGTTGGTATTTGTTTATGTCTTAGTTCTGGTGTCTAAAGACGGTGATCAAAGCTTTCCTGAGCTCTTGGCAAGCCTTGCCTGGCTCTGTGGGGCACTAAGAAGTTCAAAGGATGACACGGTGGCCTGGAGGGAGGGGCAGACCTACACCCTGTGCCTGATACCGGTTCTGGTGGCCCCACCTGCGGGGTGACTTCGGTTTAGTCTTGTGTAGAGATTGAGGCCAAACATGCGGAAAATCATGGTAAGACCAAAACAAAAAAGCAAGCAACCAAACAAACCAAAAAAACCCCTCCTTGTATTTAAGTAAAGATTCCAGAAAACAGGGGAGGCCAGGCAAGCTTTTAAGAATAGATTCCTAAGACCCCTCACGTAGGTCTGTCCCACTGCCCGACACGTGACCTTGAGAGTGAGCATGGCGTCTCCATGTTAGGAGCCACTGCTTCTGCACAGCTGTCAACGTGGGGAGGCTTTTGTCAAGAGGACCCCAGCTCCTGGTGCTTATCCCACTGGGCGCTTGGCGCTGGGGTTATCAGTTGAAGGCAGTCTTCCTGCCCCCTACCCCATCTCCCTAGATCCCCTTCTCTCCAGGTTCCAAATGTAGCTCCATTCCTTGCTCGGCAGGCAGTTTCCTGAACTTGGAGGTTGTGCTGAGTACCTGGAGTCTGTCCTGATCCCCTAGAATCCGAGAGAAAAGTGAAGAAACATTGGGACTGCGCCGGCAGTTAGAATTTACTCCATTTACATCCACTCCTCCTTGCCTACTGCTGTCAGCTCCTCTGGTTGGCTTTTGGTTAGTTACCCTTGGCTGCCCTTGTTAGTGACCAGAACCGGATTCTGCTAGGAGAATGATATGAGCATGTCCTTCCGGGGAGGTGGCCCGAGTACACTCTGTGATTTACCCCAGATCTGGCATTCCCCAGAGTCAGCCCTGGGGCAGACAAAGAGAAGCAGGGTTGTTAAGCGGGAGGCAATCTTTATGGAAAGGGAACCCTCCTTCCTCTCCTCCCTCTTTGCTGCGGTCCTTTGCCAACCCTGCCCCCAGGTTACAGCACTCCAGGGAACTGGCTGAAGGGGAATAGGTGCTTGTTTGACAGGTGTTCCAATGTTTGTGTGGGCATGCGCCAAGGTGGGGAGGAACAGTCCTTGCACTTGGCATGATCTGAACTTATGATGAGAAGAATTTATCTCAGTCTATTGAGATCTTGCTTCTAGGTGCATCCTTCGTTTGGCTACAAATACATTTTTATAATATTAATACAAAAACAAAAAGCCTAGCCGAAACCTGTGGATAGAGCATCAGCCTGCGGTCTGAAAGGTCCCAGGTTCGATTCCAGACAAGGGCACATACATTGGTTGCGGGCACATCCCCAGTGGGGGATGTGCAGGAGGCAGCTGATCAACATTTCTGTCTCATCAATGTTTCTAGCTCTCTATCCCTTTTCCTTCCTCTCTTAAAAAAATCAATAAAATATATTAAAAAAACAAAAACAAAAAGCTTATTATGCATTGCTCCTCAATACTGTGAAGAGCCTTCATTCTCTTTAGCAGAGATAAAGAGCAATGACCAGTGTTGTTTTTTTTGTTTGTTTGTTTGTTTTGGGGGGGAGGGCAGTAAGAGACAAGGTGCACAGCAAAGAACAACCATGACTAATTGGCAACATTGGCCAAAATCAAAGGCATATAGAAAGGGTGGTGGTTGTTTTTATTTTTTAATCTGAAATCTCTTAGGTGAGAATTTAGGACAAATTCTGATAAAGATTGCTTGCTACCTTGAAAATACTACCAAGATAACTTGCTTGCTGATCAGGTGAAACTGAGCTCAGAGGAAGTAATGAAGTTTATAGGAGGTAGATCCACTTGCTGAGGAATGTTTTCACAGGACAAAGAAGATACAGCATCAGAGACCATCTGGTTTAAAGGGGAGCCGAAGACAAGACAATGGGAAATGCTACTAGTGTAACCTGCTGCCCCAGACAAGGTGGGGAGGGGCTTGCCACTGAATCATAAGAGAGGCTATAGTAAGCTATTGGTCTTAAAAAAAAATAAATCTTTATTTGCTTTGGTAAGGAAAAAAGTTAACAGTAAGTTTTATCTCTTTGGTTAGCTTATTCCTAAATATATTTTTTTTTGGTTGTTGCAATAGTAAATGGAATTGTTTTTTTAGTTTTTCTTTTTTTAAATATATTTTAAAAATATATTTGATTTTTTACAGAGAGGAAGAAAGAGGGACAGAGAGCTAGAAACATCGATGAGAGAGAATCATCCATCAGCTGTCTCTTGCACACTCCCTTCTGGGATTATGCCCACAACCAAGGTACATGCCCTTGACTGGAATCGAACCCAGGACCCTTCAGTCCGCAGGCTGATGCTCTATCCACTGAGCCAAACTGGTTTCGGCTATATTTTTTTTTATTTCTGAGAAGGGAGAGTGAGGGAGATAGAAACATCAATGATGAGGGAGAATCATTGATTGGCTGCCTCCTGCATGCCCCCTCCTGAGGATCGAGTCCACAACCTGGGCATGTGTTCTTGACCGGAATCAAACCTGGGACCCTTCAGTCCACAGGCAGACGCTCAATCCACTGAGCCAAACTGGCTAAGGCTAGTTTCTCTTTCTGATAATTCATTATTGGTGTATAAAAATGCCTTCAATTTCTGGCATATGTGGAATCTTAATAAAATAAACTGATGAACGGAGTGGATCCAGAGACTCAGGAATAAGTGACTATTTAAGGCAGTTGCCATGGCTAACTTTCAAGGCACTGACCTGCTAAAACCAAATGCCTTGACCGGAATTGAAGTCTGGTTTTATTTTTTATTTTTATTGTTTTTATTCTTTTATTTTTATTAATGTTTTTATTTTTTATTTTCATTAATGCTTGCCTTCTATTGAGACTTCCACGAACTGCACAGGTGAGGTGGTATTTGAACTGGGCCACCATAGTCTTGGGGGTCTCCTCTGTGAGTAGGTGTTGCAGAACATGGCTTTGTGGCATTGAGAAAGCGGAGGATGGAAGCAGGGCCATCTTGGAAACACAGGCCAACTCCAGCGTCTTCCAGCCCTTCCATTAGTTAAGGATTTAGGATTTCCTATTATCTCCCCAATTTGCAAGTGGAAGTGGAAGTGGAGGCGGAGCTGGAAGCTCTAGCCTAGGCGACCGCTCCAACTGTTTAGTCCCTGTACGTCCCACGCGGTCTATCCTCGGGGTTTCCTAGAAACCTTCCAGGCCCGCCTAGCAACCTTCCGGGCCCCTGGGTGTTCAGGTCAACTAGACCGGGCTGCAGCCGAGTGTCGCCTTCGGGAAGCAGGAAGAACGGCGTCCGCCAGACCCTCGGGCCCGTTACACGTGGAATCTCCTGAGCTGAACACCCAGCCGGGCGGCGGGCGGGGGCGGGGCCTCGCGGAGCCAATGGGCGGGGCAGAAGGGGGCCGCGCCTGCGCATGGCAGGCCGGGGGGCGGGGCCGGGGAACGGCGCTGAGGACGGGGGCTGGCGAGGCTCACGCGGGGTCGCTGCGTGTCTGGGGAAGTTGGGCAGCCGCCGCGGGTCGCGAGGGTGAGTGAACCCGGGAGCAGCCCAGGTGTGGCTGCGGCTTGTGAGGCCCGTGTCCCCACCCTGGGGGATGGGGAGAGGAGGAGGTCCGTGGGGCGGCGCCCAGGGGTCCTCAGCGGGGCTGGGTTCCGGCACCCCTCCGTGGTCCTGGGGCGTCGGGCTCAGGTTGAGAGGCTGGAGGCCCTACGTGGGGAGGGTCTCAGCCCCCGAGCCGCCTCGGGAAGATTAGCCGGCTTAGAAGCAGAGCATCTCTCTCTCCCGGGACAAGCTGCTGGGGATTGTGAAGCCAGATGGGCCCTGCCGGAGCCGGTCTCCGCTGGCACCCTCTCTCCTCCGATTTTCACCCCCCCACCCTCCTCCCATCTCCTCCTGGAAGAGAGAATAAGCAGGTCCTGTCTGGCAGGGAGAGCTTGGCTTAGCTATGCCCCGGAGTGGGAAGGCGAGGGAAGGAGATTTCCTCTTGGGTCCCCTATGTGGGCATGGGCACTGCCACCCACCCAGTGCCCAAGCCACAGTTTGGGCGTCGTTCTCACCCCCTGTGCTCCTTACCACCCATATCGGATCCATCAGGTCTCTCTTGGATACGTCCACGTACCCACTCCCAGTCTCTCTGCTCCAGCTGGCTCAGGCCGCCGTCATCTCTGCCCTGGAATAATACACCTCAGGAGGCTCCTGACTGGTCCCCTGCATGTCTTTGTGGGTCCTCTGGAGCTTGTTCTGTACCGGGAAGCCGGAGTGATAGTCTTAAAACACACATCTGATCACCACACCATTCCCTTTCCGACCTTTTCGTAGCTTCTCATTG